CCCAACTTAAAAACTAAATGAATTTGAAATCAGCATATGCTTCATAAAATGCAAGGACGGGGAATGTTCCATAAACTTTTACAACAGTTTATTTCATTTTGGAGTGCCCGCGTGACTAAATAAATTGCCCGAAGCGGAATTCTCTGCACTGACCTTACTGGATAGGTCTATAGTGAGACAATTGGACCTCCCATGCACCATCCTTGTGTTTTATGCAAAACAGTTATATATGCTTATTAAAAATAGATGGCCTCGTTTAAATTTTTAGCGGGGTTGGACTGAAACTTAAAAATAGAGTTTTGACGACAATAAACGTACTTTATATGTCATAAAATTTTCAAACGATCTCACAAACTATGGTACAACCGATGGTACCAGTATTCACTCGTAATGCCTAAAGTTTTCTTCATTTTTTTCTTTAATAAGAAATATATCTGCAACCTTTTTGCTCAGTGGTCCATCCTCCTAGGTCAAAATGTCAGGAGATATCCTTTTTATATTTGACAGGATTTACACCCCTTTGGTGTCCATTACAGGCCCATTTACGATCGCGCACAATAACAGAAGGCGGTTATGCTGCTCGAAATTTGGCGATATTTTATACAGGAGCAGAAATTCGTCCGGTATTTGTATCAATAATATTCAACAATAAAGGCGTAGCAGCCATACCCAATGAAAACACCAAGTGGCCAGAATTCACAGTTTCAGCCCAGTATCCTTTTTTAAAAATCGAAGTTCAAAACAAAGTGGTTTTATTGAGCGACTGCGAAATTTTTCCGCTGGGCGTGTAAACAATCTAGCATGTGTTCTACATTTTGACCGCGAGGAATCCCGTTACCGCGTTTTAATTAAATGGTTTTTATACAGACATATGGTAAAGGCCGTTCGTGAGGCACAAAATATCGAGCACCATGGTTTCTTGTGGAGATGTTGGCACTCAGACAGGACAAATCGCACGCGATACATCCCTCTTTTTAGAAACCTGAGCAGTTTTTCACGAACCGCACTAAGAATGGTATGAACGAGCGTTTTATCAAAGTGCCTTCGATTTTTTCTTTGGGGTCGTTAATACTGTGATTGCATAAAGTCAGAGAGTCAGTAAACCCTTCGCGTTCTGTCTTGGACGTGACTGCAGACGTCAGAGGCAAGAGGCCCATACCGGTATGTCGGTAACTTTTTGTGGCGATGGTGCCCTGCCGTTGGAAACTACAGCATTACTCCAGAAAAAACGGTATGCGTTAAGCGTAATGAACCTTTCAAGGGGCTGGCAGCCGCGCCATTAATATGTCAAGCTTCATATTGCGCCCAATCAAAAACATCGACAACACAAGAGTTAAGGTCTTTATTGGATATTGTTAAAGTTGAAAGCACGTGATACTCTCATATAGAACTCCATAGTGGAGGACGTGTCACGGTAATTCTATGTGAACTCGTGTGCCAATCAGATCTCGTAAACTGCGCAACTGGTAACCTTTAGCAATACAATTTTATCTGGTTTCCGTTCGTGTGCCAGCGTTCCAAGGTGAGGCTTATAAATACGATTCCAACTGCTTACAGTAGCAACTGGCAACGCCGTGATACCATTTCGGTACTCAAAACTCAAGCAGACAATCTAACAAGAGCAACGGTTTTGCCAACGTCAAGGTAAGCCAAGTAAATTTGTGTGTGTCCGCTTTCACGACATGTATGAACCGGTCTTTACATTTTGCCGCTGAAATCCTGCGGACAGGTATGTTTACGACATCAATTATTTATGAAAATCACACCAACCACATTTGCTAAATGTCGTTGTTTTCAGAGATCGTGAAAATAAAACGTTCATGCATGGACCAACACGCGTCGATGTGTGAGCCAAAATAACCAAATAACCGCAGAAGCCAAACCTTTCATTGGATTGAATTTAAATTTTGAAGATGTAACGAAATTTTCCCTGGAAAAGCGGTATTTCCTCGCACTCAAATTCCATTGCTCAATCTCTGAAATTTGGGTACGTTAGGGCAACTATGTGATTTTTTCACAGTGCAGAATGTACATCGACAATGATTGTTTAATACGTGGAAACGCTGGATATTAAAAACAGATTATACTCTAAATTAAAATTATTCAGTTAAATGTATGAAGCCGAGACAGCAAGTGGCATTCCCAGAACTGGAACCAGCTCATTTCTCGTGTTTCCACTGAACCCCAAAACGCTGATTGGTTAGCGCTAGGCTTTGGCACTATTACTAGGAGTGCCAATATCACGTCTTTTCATCAGACGCTGTAGCCGGCCATTTGCATACGGCTCGCAAGTAATGTTTTTCACTTATTGGCCTATCCAATGACCAATTTAGAAATCGCCTACCTTGAGACATGTGCGGTGCCCCTCAATGATGCACGCTTCAGCAGCAGGGTTAGCCACATTTTAGCTTTCCCAGCAGGTCGCGTCGAGTATAATATATTTTACCCATTATGAGGTAAAATGTCTTAATTGGACTCTTGTCAGGAACAATTCACCATCTGTACCTCCCAGCTTCTTTTTCCTCACGTTACTGCAACCGCTTTTTAGTTTCGATGGTATTATTGCTATTGTACGGAGCTCTGGAAGTGCCATCCGACTTGCTGAGATCCTGACTTATTTTTTCTCGGGAAGAAGACATCATATAGGCGGGATGTCGATATCCTGAGATAATTTCTCATGGGATGCTGGCATCCTGAGATACTTTATCACAGAATGTCAACAAAGACCCTGATACAAGAATTATTGTAAGTAAATGACGTCATGATGACGTCATCATGTGATTTGGTATTGATTTTTCAATATTTAATTTAGCCCATTGACTTTGTACACGTTTTCAAGCCATCATTTGGGTTAGCTTGAGAGGTTTGATCAACTTTTAAGTTACAGATAACAAAGGCCCTGATGACAGAATTTTGCTAAATTTATGACGTAACGATGACGTTATCACCTATTTTTAAATTAAATTATGGATATTCAATCTTCCCCCCATAGGTTTTGTAAAGTTTTTCGTCAGCCTGTCCTCGGCCCTTTGGTTAATCTGAATTATTTCGTTCAATGTACACTTGAAGTCCCTCACGAAAAGAGGCTCCCAAAGAAAAATCGTCCAAATAACATCATCAGGGGTCACGTGACATGAGCTTGAAGCTGCAGTTTTCCCCATAGGTTTTGTACACGTTTTTTTACTACGCAATATTATCGATCTTAATGAAGGTAATCCTGAACTTCGGCTGAGAATTACTATAAGAACAAAAAAAATCGTAATTTTCTTTCGTCTTCATTTGATTACATGTATACTTGCGAGTCTGAATATCAAATAATATTTTGGAATTTTCTTTCAGTTTAAACGCAAATCACATGACATAATAAAGGAGCAGCTTTTTGCATAGATGTTTTCAGTCCATTTACTTGTACACGTTTTCAAGCCACTACTTGGAAACCTTCGCGATGTTTGATCGCTATGAAAGTGATATCGAACAAAGACCCTTGTGCAATAATTCTTCAAAAGGAATGACATTATGATGACGTCTTCATGTGATTTACTAGTAAATTTTCAATATTTATTTCAGCCCATTGACTATGTACACTTTTTCAAGCTACAATTTGGGCAATTATCAGCGGTTTGATGAACATCAAAGTTACACGCAACAAAGACCCTCATGAAAGAATTTTCCTAAAGTTATGATATCATGATGACGTCATCACCAAACAGAAAGTTCCGAAACAGCTCAGTGGTCATTCTCAACCACGTTCCTCTAGTTGTGATTTTTATGCCCAATATTGACATGTAGTAATTAGTTAGATAACTGCATTAACGCACCAAAACGTGCTAGTACCTCGCTTGCTGATATAGTTGAAGTGCTATTCATTTAGATTACACAAATTTTAGGGCTGTAAATCAAAAGATTTATGTCACTCATTTGAATCAACTTTTATTTTGAAAAAACAAGGTTTTTATCATTATTTGATATTGATGATTTATCACTCTTCTAGTATTTCAAAAATTAAATGATCTCTCAAAGCCGGGAGCATTTATGAGAAATGTTGTTCCATTTATGCTACATGTTTGGATTCGATTCAGAAATTAAAGAGTTATTGTCATGATTTAATCCACCTTTAAGTTTAAAAGAGTACTGTATCACTACACGACTATGCCATTTTCTCTCTACCTATTTGGGATTACAAAGGTTTTCTGTTATGCAATGATACCAAAACTCTGTATCAACTTGTTCTTGGAGTAATGAGTTGTAATCAGGCGGAGGTCGTTACTCATTAAATACCGAGGCATCACGCATAAACCCCGTAATAACATCAAAAAGTCACCTGAAAATTGTAAGATATATGTATTAAACAACTGCCAAGGGTAAAAAAGCCTGCCGCGATAGAAAATATTTGTACTAAACAGTCCCTTCATTTTTAGCTCTTAGCTACTGTCAAATTCTGTTAACGAGACTTCTTTTTACAAACAGTGGAACCTTTTAAAGTTTTAGCTGTAGGTTTCTGCCACGTATACTGAACAAGAAGCATATACATGTTTTGGATGGCATTTGTCACTCCTTGTTGCGTTTTATAGCCGCCGAGTAACAAACCCAGTGACCTCCATTTTTTAACAAAACTTAGACCATGGTTTAAATCTTTTTGATTTTCCCTTGGTACCTGAGAGGTATCTGGTCTACAGGCCAAAACATAATATATTACATGCATTTTATGTTGGCGTAAACAGTATAGGAGATTTTTAAGTTAAAGTTGGCCATAATTTTTGATTGAGCAAAAAAATTAATCAATATAAACTAATGCACGTACTTCTAAATTTGCTCACGTTGGACAGTAAGGCCAACTTATCTCTAAACACAAAAAAATTTGTACTTAAATATTCACAAAATTGTAACTTTTTATTTCAGGCAATATATATTTACAATTCAGAATATTCAAAAATCCTTCAAAAATTCAAATGGACACGACGTCTTTGCAGGTCTTCTTTCTCATTTGTCTTCAACAACAGGATATTGACATGGACGAAGAAACCTCCAAAAATCAAAAAATTGCCATAGTGGGCATAGGCTGTCGCTTCGGCAATGGGGTCAACAGTGTCAAAACGCTCTGGGAGGTTTTAGTGAAGGGACTAGATTGCACCACGCCCATACCACCCGACCGTTTCGATGCAAGCTACTTCTTGAGTCCTGGAGAGAAGACAGCCGGCAAGATTTACATCCAAAATGGCGGGTACATTTCTCAAGACCCATACATGTTCGACAGACAGTTCTTCCACATGCCACCTGGTAATTTCTTAAAATTTTTTGGAATAAGTTTGGTGAATTTACTTAAACAAGATTGGCAAAATGCCCAATCCTGATTTACTGGAATTAATTCCACATGTGATCGCAAGAGGGCATGCACAGGTCCAGTAACCTTATTGTCCCGTGAATAAAAGACGGACATACAGTGTCTCATTAGGAAAGTCATTTTCACCGACCTTTTTATGCCAGACCACATTTGACACTTGATATGAATTGTCCAGCTACAGCACAAAATCTAATACTCTTTTGTACCTATGAGGTTTTTGATGTGGACGGTTTGTTCACTTTTAAATATCCTGCAGACGAGGCAGCCCACCTTGATCCGCAAGTTAGACTTCTTCTTGAAGTCACGTGGGAGGCCCTCGAGAATGCCGGGATACCACCCTCTTCTCTACGAGGTTCTAAAACAGGTGTCTACATGGGCGTGACAGCACAAGAGTACTTGTCCTTCGCATGGAAACCATTTCACAATATGAACCAGTATTCCAACTCGGGCAACAACTCGTGCATGGTATCCAATCGTATCTCCTACGAGTTTGATCTCCGTGGGCCGAGTTTCTCAGTGGATACAGCTTGTTCATCTTCCCTCTACTCGATCTATTTGGCATGTGAGGCGCTGAAACAGAAATCCTGCTCAATGGCTCTTGCTGGTGGGGTCAACTTGATTCTTACACCAACCACCACTATTGGGTTTTGTCAGGCTGGCATGCTTTCTCTCGACGGCAAATGCAAAAGCTTTGACCAGGCAGCCGATGGTTATTCCCGGAGCGAGGGTGCTGGGGTTTTGGTTCTGAAACCTCTCGATGATGCTCTGCATAATGGCGATCGTATCTACGGAGTTATACGCGGAGGGGCACTTAGTAATGATGGCCGTACTTTGGGCATTGCAAACCCCAGTTTTGATGCACAAGTTGACTTGGTGAAAAGCGCATGTCGGAACGCCGGGGTAGATCCCCTCCAGATTGTCTACGCCGAGGCTCATGGTACAGGAACAAGAGTAGGCGACACAACAGAGGCCGGAGCCTTGGGTGAGGTTTTGGGGCGAAGGAGAGGGCCCAAACATCCTCCGCTCTACATTGGGTCCGTCAAATCAAATGTGGGCCACTCTGAAGGCGCGGCAGGTGTGGCTGGCATTATCAAGACGGCCTTGTGCCTGTACAATCGAAAGATTCCACCCGTCGTGCATTTTAAAACACCAAACGAGAATGTCGACTTCAAACTGCTAAAGATGAATGTTCCTACCGAACTGATTTCTTGGCCACACAGAGGAGATCGTTTCCTTTCTTGCTGCAGCTCATTTGGCTTCGGTGGAGCGAATGCTAACCTTATTCTTGAGGGACATCTAAGTCCTTCTGGGATTGAGCTTCCTCAAATGAAGGGTAAAACTCTGAGTTGCCTCCTCCTGTCTGCAGCCAGCTCCAATGCACTTCGTCAAAAATTCAAGGACTGGGTCGACTTTCTGACGGAAGACCCGTCGATGAACGACAACACTTTCTTCTCTTGTCTGTATACGGCTGCCTGCCGTTCTCAGCACCTCGTGCACCGAGCAGGATTTGCTGTCTACTCCAAGGAAGATGCTATCCACCAACTTCGAATGAAACTTGATAACGAATCTTACCACAAGACGTCGACTCGACATGTCGAAGGCGTAGCGACGTCAGTCTCTGGGGCCAAACAGCAAATTGTGTTTGTGTTCTCTGGTATGGGGACACAGTGGTGGGGAATGGGTCGAGAGTTGATGGAAACACAACCTATTTTTGCTGCAAGGGTGAAGGTAAGAACTCTCTTTCAACTAAAGCTGCGTTTTGTCGAGGTAACGGACTTGTATTTCAATATAATTTTCTTAAAATTCAAATTCAGCGTGTAGTTTATCAAGTACGATAATTGCAAAAAACGTATTGCCTGTATTCACCTTTTAGCGTTTTCCAAATTGGACGGGCGTCAAATAAGGTTACAGACGGATTATTTTTTCCTTTTTTTTAGTTTCCTCTGCTTGTAGGCTATTCTACTATTTTTTCCTTACATTGAAGAACTTCCTCAATCAAGTCTCATCTTTTGGTAATGTGTGTACATATAGGTTATTGACGAGCAGCTGAAGAGGTGTGGGGCTAAATGGTCTTTAGTCAGCATGCTGTCTGATGAAAAAGACCGTGAGAGAATACATAAAACAGGTAAATCATTTTTTCCTCAAACACAACCAGAATAACACACCCAACTCAAAGAATATGTAAACAGTATCCGTTGATGATTGGTTTTTTTTTACTATCTTTACGACAGAAATCAGTCAGCCCTGCCTGTTTGCACTTGCAATAGGTCTTCTGGATCTTTGGAAGTTTCGAGGTCTGGTTCCGGATGCAGTGGTTGGGCACAGTGCAGGTGAGGTTGCAGCAGCATATGCAGCAGGTCTCCTCAGCCTGGAGCACGCAGTGAAGCTCGTCTACCGAAGAGGGATTGAACTAGGAAAGACAAGTGGCTCTGGGAAGATGGTGGCCGTCTTATGCCACACTGAAGAAGCTCTCCGGTACGCCAGGGAAAGCAAGCATGGACAAATGCTTGATGTCGCAGCCATCAACAGCCCAGGTCAAATAGTCTTCTCTGGTGCGAATACCGCTGTTGAGGGGCTAGCTAAAGAATTCAAAATAAATAATATTAAATGTGTCGTGCTCAAGGTAGACAATGCTTTCCACAGCAAAGAGCAAGAAGTCATAAGAAGCCCTTTCCTCAAAGAGGCGAGTAAGTTCCTTAAAGTGCAAAATGCAGAAGAAAGAGTACGCACGATTCCAATGATGTCCACCGTAACAGGGCGTTATTTGACTACCGAGGAGGCTAACACGCCAGAGTATTGGTTTCAGAATGCTAGACAGCGGGTTCTCTTCATGAACTCAATTCAGAAACTCGCAAAAGATGGTTACAGGGTCTTTGTCGAGGTTGGTACTCACTCGTCGCTCTTACCTGCTCTTCAGGACACTTTGGCTACGATCCAGTTTACAGATGATAAGTTTATCACATCAGCATCTCTACTTAGACCTCGAGACACAATAACGATTGCAAAAGACTCCGAGAATCTTATGGTATCGCAGTTGAGGCTCTATACAAGCGGTATACCTGTGATCTTTGACGGCCTATTCAACTCCACCTATCGGCAAGTCATGTCGGTCCCACATTACCCGTGGCAACGAGAAAAATGTACCAATATCTGTCCCGAGGGAAAGACAGACCTTCTCTTTCCTGTTGGTGAGGGTCAACACGTACTTCTTGGGGAGCCCATTGAAACATTCCATCTGCAAGAAAGTCCGGTGAGGATATGGCGAGCTAAAATGGATGCGTCTCGGGTACCGTGGGTAAAAGATCACGTCTTGCAAGGCTCCGTGATTGTGCCTGCTACTGCTTACACTGAGACCGCTCTTGCAGCAGCTCGATCAATGAACGGTTATCGCTACCCGATAGTTCTCAGTGGGTTGATGTTCGATCGATTCATGTTTGCCCCAAATGCAGAAGGCTGCCTTGAGACAACAGTGGAGGAGAAGACAGCAGAGCAATTTCTCGTCACGCTTAGGAGCCATGACGTGTCCAAAGGAACATGGACACAGCATTGTCACGTAAGAATCATTCCTCCATCTGCCGCAGATCCTGGTGTGATGACGACACTGGGTGAAATAATGGACGTAGACAGTATCAGCAAAAGATGTGAAGTGTCTATACCGGGTGAGGTGTTTTACAATAATGCAGATGATTCTGGCTTCGATTTGGGATCTACGTTTAGAGGAGTTCAGAAGATGTTAACGTCACAGGATTCACGTGAAAGTTTAGTATATGCTGAGGCTCCTCTCAGTGTTCGGAGAGAATTTCATCGTTACGTGTATCATCCAGCTTTCATGGACAGCTTCTTGCAGGCATTTGCTGTACTCATTTTGTTAGCCGAACAAGGAGGTCATGAAAATTTAGACAAGAGATCTCAACCAGTACAGAGAGTTCCAAGACAAATACAGACGCTCACATTTACCGGTCCGAGCTCTCCGCACGTTTGTATCCATGTAAGGATTAGCGGAGGGGACCATCCCAACTGCGACATTGACGTGGCAGACGCAAACACAAAATCAATATTCTGCTCGGTTCGAGGACTTGTGTTTGAAACCATTCAAAATGACAACATGGAACATCAGATTTGGAGTGTGGTGTGGGAAAATGTTGGTTCTGTGGATATCAAAAACGGACCAGTTCAGTCCCAAACCGCATCAAAGAAAGTGATTGTCTTTCCGGACAATACAGATGTGAGTACTTCCTTAATCGATACTCTTGTAAAACAAGAGGTCTTGGACGTAACCGTCATTGATGTGGAAAAGGCCGATGCCGTGCAAAAAGCAGTTACCATGGTTGCTGCCAATCAGGATACAGAGACGCTCCTGGTCATGATGAAAACAGAGGTATCTGACGTCCACTTGAATTCTGGATCGGTCATGTCAAGGAGAGAGTTTGAAGGCTACCAAAAAGATACATTATTTTGCTACTCCGTCTGCAAGGCTTTGCAAAGGGAGAGTTTAAAGGCCCAGTTTTTGCTTTTCACAAAGGGCGCGCATCATGCAATAGACGGTGATTACGTGAATCCATTTTCAGCGATCCTGAATACGGTTGGCGTAATTGTCAGTCATGAAGAGCCACTGCTTACAATGTTTTCTGTTGACCTACCGATTACAGAGAGCAGCATGGAGAGTAGTCAGATCGCTTGTGAAATTATTTACAAGAAAGATTGCCACCTTTATGAAGAGGATGTAATTGCTGCCAGAAAATCACGTTCCACGAAGCGAAACCATAACAGTAAGACTTGGGATCTCTTATCTCCGCGCGTGAGAATGGAAAATCTTTCCAATGCCCCGGCAATTGTACCAGCCAGGCTGTGGTCAGTGGGAGAGAAAAAGATGTCTGATCGTGTCCGAGTCTTCGTTCGTAAAATTCATCCTAAAGATTTGGAACTTAACACTGACCAACGGTTTTTCCGGGTGAAGGTTGAAGCTTTTGGTCTTTGCAACAACCAGCAGTTCGAAGTAGACGGCCGTTCAGGAACAAACACATTCATCTATGCCGGTAGCCTAGACGGATACAGTTCCAAAAAGCAAACCAAAACATACTTAGGCCTCAGTTGCACTGACGTCCAGACATATATGAAGTCTCTCTCACAGGACTTAATAGAAGTGCCTTCGTATCTCACTCCAAGAAAAGCAGTCAGTATCGTCATTGATTACTTACCACCAGCTGTCTTTTTCGAGCAGGCTGTACCAGTATCTCCAGGTATGCGTGTGGGTTTCAAGTGTGACTCTCTCGACAGTTATGACCTTGCAACGATTCACCTGTCAACTAAAATGGGAGCTGAGACAGTCGTCTTAAAAGATGCTCATAACGATCTTTTTGCACTTTACAATGAGATATCTGTCAAATCCCTCAATGAGTTGGAAGAAGCATCCATTGACGTAATGTTTCTGTCTCTGAAGTCATCCTCGTTGGATCGCACACTGCATTCATTGCAGCCAAAGTTGAGAGGAAACGCCACCGTCGTGATTATTCAAAGACAAAAACACGAAAAAAGGCTGCCAATGCTTCCGTCAAAGATGAAGATTGTGACGTTCGACACATATCTCCCATCAGCACTTGATGGATTATCCAGCTCCAAGATTTCGGCTATTTTGTCTTATCTATGGGAGATGTTTAACCCCAAGCTGGAGAGCGGTCATTTAACTTGTATTACAGGTAATCATATCCGACTGTCTTCCCTGGCTGCACGCAATGCTGACATTCCAAAAAATGAGGTTATCGAGGTTGACTCAGCAGAATTGCTGTTACCCCCTTCTGTGGAAAACGACGGTTTTGTGGCTGACAGAGGATCGGCCTACTTCGTTACAGGCGGAACCAAAGGTTTTGGTCTCAAACTGACAGAGTGGTTGATATCAAGAGGTGCTCGATATATATATGCAGGTTCCAGAGGGGAAATGAATGAGGAATTGAAAGAGGTCATCGAAAAGGGAAAGGAAGTCGGTGCTCAAGTCCGGCACATCCGGTTGGATGTTTCCAGTGCAAGTGATGTCGAAATAGCGCTGCGAAAAATGATGGTTGGGCAGTGGCCCGCTCTGAGAGGCATATTCCATTGCGCTGCCGTCTTTGAGGACGGGTTTCTCCAAAATATCACTGCGGAATCTTGGAACAGAGTCATGGCTGCGAAGGCACATGGAGCACTTCTGCTACACCAGCTGACTTTAAAGCTTGGCATCAAGCTTGATCATTTCATCATGACATCCTCCATTCTGTCCCTGATTGGCAATGCAGGACAAGGGAGCTACTGTGCTGCCAATGTCTTCCTTAATGCACTGGCCTATTATCGTCATAATCATAATCTACCAGCGACGGCAGTGCAGATAGGTGTTATTAATGACGTGGGGTTTATAGTTCGTCGCGGTCTCGTTCAAGCGTGGGAAAAGACGGGCGCAGGAAGTATGAGTCCCAAGGAGGTTCTTGGGGTTATCGGCTCCGCACTGTCGGTTCGCCAAACACAGCTTGGCATTTCAGCTCACCTTAATCGGAAGCTTTGGGCAGAGAGACACCGTGGCCTCATTATAAAACACTTCAAAGAAAAACATGGAACCTTGTCTTTCATGAAAGAATTGTTTCATGACAGAGATGTCTACCTGGCCGCCATAAATGATACATTTCTGCAGTCAATAGTAAAACTTCCACTAACCAAGGCCAGAGATTTGGTCATCAAAACTTTGGCCCAGCTTTTCAGTCAGCACCTTGGGCTGTCCAATGAACCCCCGCATGATGCATCACCGATCTCTCTGGGTCTGGATTCTCTCATGGCGTCAGAAGTCAGCCAACAGATAAGCCAGAAGTTTCAGGTCATCGTTGGAGCGGTCGATCTGCTCAATGACAAGAACACGATCCAGGAGATTTCAAAAAACATAACAAGGCAACTATTTGCAAAGACAGCTTCATCCAGCCCAAATGGGTTGGAGGGTGAACGATCAGCTGTTTTAAAACAGAAAACAGTTGTCGTTGAAGGTGAGGTGCCAAAACCGTTGGCAGTGAAGCTTGTCTGTTTCCCTACCATTGGCGGGGGACCTTCACTGTTTACCCACTGGACACAGCCGATGCTTCCGTTTGGTATCCAGGTTTTGATGATTCAGCTGCCGGGCTGGGAAGGGCGTGAAGACGAACAGCCACTCACAAACATGAAAGATATTGCACGCCTTGTTTACCACGAGCTCGCACCACATATATCAAAAGGTCCATTCGTATTTTTCGGTCATAGCATGGGAAGTCTGGTCGCGTTCGAAGTTGCTCACCTCCTCTATGACGAGGACAATATCTGTCCCCATCATTTGTTTGTCAGCAGTTGGTACGCTCCAACTTTGGCCTATCCTTACACTGAGGAGCTCGATATCACGCCCTCGACCTTTGACAGACTGAAGGAGATCCTGGAGGATAGCCCAAAGCTCTTCGCAAGCTTAGCAAAGCAAGCGCAAGTGAAGTTCAGTTTCATAGATGACAAGACCTTCTTTAATACTGCATTTATGAAACGCCTGTTGCCCTGCCTGCAGGCCTCGACCGAAATAATAAGAGACTACAAATGCAAACATGAGAACCCGTTACCATGTGACCTTACGGTTTTTGGAGGTAAACAGGACGCCTTTGCAAAGCCAGATCTCCTGAATGGCTGGGAGCAGGAGAGATCCAGGAAGCATTCTTTTAATAAGATAATCTTTCCCGGAAAGCACATGTACATTCTGACCAGCACGGCACAGGTTTTGGAAGCAATTTGTCTCACGTGGAAGAAAGATGAAAATAATTCTTATTAGGTCTAAAGATACAGGTTCGTGTAAAGGGTGGATTGTTTCAATTGTGTCTCAATACAGTGATTCTTGCCGTGTTCTGCTTTCCCAGCCGATGAATGGGTTCTCATTATTTTACAATGCCAATAAGTCATTCCAAAAATACATGAAAGGATTATGAGCCGCTTGGAGCAAAACACTGTGCTGAAAAGCCTATATACTTTCGATAATGAAAAGGCTGCTAGATAGAAAAAAAGAAAAGCGTCTTCGTTTCTAATGAAAAATAAAGATTTAGTCCTAATAACACAAATACCTATATATAATAACAATGAAATGGAAAGGAGAAGTAATACGGAAGGCCAATTTTTAAAAATTGGACAAGAAAGTCGTGAGCGCAAGTAATAGGGTTTAGCATTTTCGACCCCCGGTTTGTTTTGTCTAAATCTTTTATCCAGATACACATGTAGGCTCACACTGAAAATTAATAACCTCTGGTATTGTTAAAGGGACGTTTGTAAATGTTAAATCGTAATTAGATCGGTTTTAATGTTTTTGGTAACATTTTTACGAGGTATGCAGGTGGTAATTCTTGGATGAGTTTACTTTTCACACTTTTAGAAATAGGTTTAGCTTATTGTGTCTACGGTACATTTCTGAATTTCTGAAAGCATAATATATATATATATATACAACCTTTAAACAAAAAGTGAGGATTTCTGTTTGGAGTGTTTTGGGAGGTTACTTGAGTGAAGGATTTTCATCAATTTTCTAAGAGCTACCAAATAGCAGATATAAATATAAGAGTTACTTTTTTTTACAGCAGCACGAATTGAATTGGTGACAATTACACAGTAAATCTTGAAATACTAGCGGACCTTTAGAGGAGTCTGGAGCTTTTTACAGTCAAAGGTTTTTGCCCTTTCTTTTAATTTTTACATCACAATCACATCATATCTTTTCTGGTGATGTCATAAGTACTTTTGAGTAAATTGATGACTTTTGGGGTTATATAGGAGTCCTTTTTATATCAACAAATCAATTGATATTGTCCCAAGGTTATTCAAACCACGTTTGAATTCACTTTATATTATTTTGAATGGATAAGGGTTTGGATCAGGTGTCACTGCTAAAGATATCATTTTAAGATTTTAGTTGCTTTTAAACCTGTTGCATTTTGTTTTGATAAGTTGAAAAAGGTTTACATACTATTTATTGGCCTCTGACACATGCACAAATGAATTGGGAATAGTTTTTCCACCCGCAACTTCGTCGACACGTAATTTATTAATAATTTCAATTATTATTCTCAATAATTCGTGTTCAGAATCTTCAAGTGATTTACAGATTATTTAATATGTACAATATTCACAGATATTGTTTGATTATGTATAAAATCATTTAAAATTATTTTACCCAACGGCCGATGTTAATTTACAATGAATTGAGTTAATTTTCACCGGCTGATATCAAAAATCGAATTGGTTGATCTGTTATAGTCTTTATATTCAAATCGGATCGAGTCACTAATCTAGCTATCTAATCATGCAAACCAAATTCAACCAGAAGAGTTACTCTTACCCTAAGAAACTTAAAAAACAATAATAATGGTCTCTTAATCAAACGTATCAGAAAGTAAAGAATGTAATCCTAATCTATTAGAAATTAAAGAATGAACTCTATAGTAATTATAATAGATGCCCAATAAATAATCCTAATCTTGCCGGCCAAAAAAATCAATGGACCCATTGTTTTTGATGTAAAATCAGTTTTTGCTTTGGTTTGTGTGCTTGTGAGGATGGTCTCCCTCTTGACTGTTCAGATGTCCCTGTACACCACCCCTAGGTAAGTAGGCTTAATATTCAGGGCACCCGTCACCGGGCTGTTGCTTTCCGTAGGCCAGTCTGCCTCGCAAAACGGATAGTCCTCACACAAGGTAGGGAAAGTTAGGCCGTTCGTGGACTTGTCTGCCTCGCCCAGTACGGACAGTGAGAGGATTGCCCCTATCTAGACAAAGTTACCATCTAATTTTCACAACTAGCAATGATATATACACCCTAAATAACCACTTCTTTTTATAATCTATTGGAAGCAAGATATTTGATCGCCTTCCATCGTTACAAGATGTCACAATAAGTGTATAATAATTAATCACTGCCGGTCAAAATTTAATTAAAAATCCATGTACCTCAAAGAAAATGCACATCATTCATTATAAAGGTTTGGTTCAATGTCCAAGTATCATATGATGCTTGATAAAGACGGGTCAGGATCTTTAGATAAAAATATAACTGACATTCAGTGTTCAAAATGACACAAACTGTACAAGAAGCCAGTCTGCAGCCAAAGATATCGCATATTGTGTCCACCGCCTGCCCACTACCTGGTCACCGGCGTTTTCATTAATTTCTAACAAGCTTCCGAAACCATAATTTGCAAGGCTTCCAATGGTAATCAGTGTTAGAGTGGCGTATTTTTATTTTATTTTTTAACTGCTGGCTTAGATCACATGACTTCACAGTTCAAAAGACGATCCTTAGAACGCCCAAGCGAAATAAAAGACCAGACCAGACCAAAGTGAACTTAAAGACCAGACAACGGCGATATAAAGATTTATCCGGAATCAGGCATTATTGGTTCTTACACTGTAGATACAGTCTGGGTATACATGTACAACGAACACGCACAACATATACAGTCTACAGACACGGGACATACAAGTAGTTTACTGAAGCATTGCGGGATCTGTTGTCGAGACAACGCTGACAGCTTCATGGAATATTTCCGTTCACTGTAATTGTTCTCCTCTTTCGTCTCCATAGCACTCTACATAATCATTACCAAAACCAACACTGTATTAGCACATTTGAAGACCCCAACACTGATAGGGGTAATAAATACCTAAAATTGATATGACAGTCAAGTTGGGCAGAGGGGGAACTGGGATATTCAGCAAATGTTTGTTTGGGGGACCGTATCCCACCCGATATGTCCTCGAATACAGTCGGTATGCACGTTTTGTGTCAGAATTTCAAGTAGTTCTTAAGTAGTATCTTCCTGATATTCTGCGGTTATTCTCTTCATCTATTCACGTACACTGAAAAACACGGAGAAGCCACATGAGAAAATGGATAAGCCTAAACAAAACAGCGTGAGGGAAATCCGCTTGGCACATGCATATATAGAAGTTATAAAAGAACAATAAGCTGAGAAGAATTGCAATAAAGTTTGACTTGTAGGCCCATGTTGACTATTTCTATATCATGACTACGGCTTAACATTTTGCCTATAACAGGGCTACATTTGGGATGGCAAGGAGGATGTACAAAAACTATACACCAAAGAAACCTGCTGATTCTCAATACGAATGTTATGTAGGAGTGCACAAAGGTGGTGGCGAGTAGGGTTTTTTTCTTTTTCTCTTTTTTTTTTAAGTTTTTGCAAGTCCAAGTCACGTCACAAGTCAAAAACTGATACAGGTCAAGCTACGTGTCACAGAAAAGCGCTTGAGTCCAACTCGAGTCCAAGTCGAGTGACTCAAGTCTACAATTTTGAGAGTGCTAAATGACTTCTCGGTGAACAGGGATACGATGTCCACGTTACAATAAATCTTTCAGCTTCACTGCTAAAAACTCAAAAGGCTACACTCATTGTACGCCAACTCCTACACGTGTGTGGGACCGGACCACTGCCTTGCTGAAAGACAGTAACGGCGTTCTGAAACAGCGCCGCCGACAAATTTGGAGGGCAAACCTTTTGCCTGTGTCGGCCCAAGGCAGAGGGAGAATCGCGTTCAACACGTCAGGGCGAATCACTTCGTTAGCGTTCTAATTCTGCCATTCAAAAATACTGCTGAAACTCGCCACTCATTCCTTATCTAGACTTACGCAAATGTCAAAAATCTTCCGATGGTGTTTGTCAGTTTAATGCACCCTGACATTCAATCGTAAACTTGTTTTAGTGAACAAAAGAGAACTATTATGTTACGCGTAGATGATATAAACCATTGAAAAAAACGTAAACCAGTGTTATCAATAAAATTGCCAGACATCTCTAGGTAGGCCTATGCCTCAATAAAGAGTATACAACGAACTCAATAATGCCGGAAACGTTTGAGCTCAAAGTAAAAACGGGGTGGATGGGTCCAGCGAGGGAGCACCTACCCACACACCCACATCCACACCCTTTTTTTCACCGAAAAAAATTCAATGAATAAATAAACAGAAAGAAAAGGAGGGAGGGAGAAGAAAAAGAAAGGTCGTACTGCCTGAAATCGCACCACAGAATTGCACCACAGAACGCCTAGAATTACACGTGCCTAAACCTAAAACATTATTTGTGACAAAACATGCAAACTGGAAACAGTAAACTATGACCTGACAGTATTTTTATTCATCCTTGTGTTTCGCAACCATTCATAACCATAATCACATCATCGTTTAAAGCAACATCAAAATGTAGTTCTGTGAAAAGTTTGAAAAAAAGTAATAAAAATCGGACTATTTTAGGGACTATTCGACATCCCTTTGTCCTTTGCCCCCTACCCCCATTTTTCCCCTCAAGTTGGTCCTGGATCCGCTATATGACCCCAAGGACGCCAATTCTGTGATGACCTAAATAAATGGAAGCACTCTGAAAAAGGCTTGGCACCGGTTAGTGTGAACATGAAGAGCGCCCTCTGTGTGTCCTAGCAGCCACTGGTAGCAGTTTGACTGAGGTACTGATTTCCGGAAGACAAACTAGGCCAATCCAGAGTTGTTAGAAATTGTATATTAAAACAAATTTTGGTATGTGCCTAATGCATTGAGTCTGATTGAATTATGTGGATATGTGAAACATAATTGTGCAAAATATTTTTTTCAAAGCCTATTGTACAGATGAATTCCCACAATCCTCAGCCGGGGTGAAGATGAATTCTGTGGAATTTTGATTTTAAGTTTGGGGATATGGTCTCTTCCCAATCCTAGGTCAAAGTGTGTGTGGGGGGGGGGAACTTTCCCCACCCTGGTCCTACAGCCGTAAGTTATAATTAATCTGCCGCTGTGATATAATATTAGTCGTGGTAACGGATGAGATGTCAAACTCTGGGGTCCGATTGCGAATTCCCAGATCAGCTTTTGGAGCTGCGAAGGCAAAGGTGACTTTTCTCTACTATTTTAAGATAGGATGTACATCATTCATAATTGTTCTGAAAAAAGGGCTTTAATGTGCGTGCCAAGTTTCAACAGATCAGGCATGGGACAATTCTTTAGGGAATTCTCCCTCCCCCAGCTGTGAGATGGTCCCTGAAAGCCCGGTTAAAGTTTAGGGCTAAAGGTAAGGTACACCATTGGTTTTTTGTTGTAATTTCACAAGATTCGGTGCAACTTACATTCCACAGACTTGTTTCGTGTTTGAGTCAACTGGTTTGTAAAGAATCGGGAAAAACAGCGCGGCGTTTCCAACAATTAAATCGAAGATCTTATAATTTATCCTGTGTAAAATCTATGAAGCACAGGGCTTTCGCAGTCAGCGAACAATACCCGTTTGGACAGGGTGGGGAACGAGCATGACAGGTTTTTTTCTCTCTTAAAAGGAGCAGTTTTCAACGGCCAGGAGTAATCAGTAATGCTCATCCTCGATAATAAAGCATTCTTCATGAAAGAAAACTTTATCCAGGACTGCAGTCGACTCGTGTCCCTGACCCTGAAATGAGTATTATGAATAACGCACGTGCGTCACGTCACGAAAGTCTAAAAATCCGTTCTTAGTTGAATAGCTAAATAATTATAAGCAAAAAAGGAAATTATGTCTCGAAACACGGGAAAATCCTTTTGCTGGGCAACTCGGAAACAGCCAACATATTTGAACCGCATCATTATGCCCTAGGGTTGACTCAGGGTTGGCAAAATCTTCGCGTTAAGAAGATCCTTTCCATTCACGATGATCCAATCTATTTTATACTTTACACCTCACACTCAGTTCCCATGATTTCAGTTTACAATGTATTTGTGGTGTAACCCACCTTTAATGCGGATATGAGAGTTGAAGTTTAAGCGAAAAATCCATTTGGCGTATTTCACTGTCCCTTGGGAAAAACACATTTAGAGTGAAATGGTCATTGGAGTGAAAGACCTCTTGGGTTCAATCAGATTCCCCCATCTGGTCATTAAACCGAATTTCGATTGAATGCTTATCATCCGAGATGTGCGCCATCTACAAGTTAAAATAAACATTAAAAAAACACTGCAGCGCAACATCGACTGATACTGAGGGCCTGTTTGTTTCACGCGGACCCAGATCGCGATCAGTGATCCAACGTTGGTTCACTGAGACCAGACGCCTATGGAGCGAACCAGCTTTGGGATCACTGATTCTGATCGAGATCCGTGTGAAACAAACAGGCCTTGAGCAATCGCGGAACTTCCCGCAAGCTGCTATCCATCATGTCTAAAATCCGCGAATCCGGCGATGATAACGTTGTGCGGACAATGCCCCTCTGACATTTTGGGGAAAGCCAACTGATCATATGTGCTTTTCGGGTTCAGGCGCGGCTTAGGAGCAAACACGAGTGCGACAGACATGTCGTCGGAAGCATAAATTGCCCAGTGCATAAAGTGTGTGTGGGGGGGTGATGTTGGGATCGATATAGAAATCAAAACGGCCTTCCAGTGTCAACGACCTACGACCTTTGGCTTGAAGATGAGATTATTTGTGCGAGGGAAATTGTGCAAAAGGACGATTTTTCAAGAGAGCACTGGCTTTAAATGCCCACCGCACGATAAGCTCTAATTTTTTGTGTAAATTGCTTCCTGGCCAAGGAAGTGGCTAATACAGACAGCGCTGCAATCAAAACATAACTTGGATCCACTCAAACACGGGGCAAGCGAAGTATCCTTACGCCAGGAGCGTTTTCAATTCGCTGTTGCGAAAAAAATTTTATTAAATAGTTCGAGAAACTAGATTTCTTGATTATGGAAAATATTTCTGCATACGTACAAACACTGCCATAAGCAGCACCGCAGTGGTAAAAGAATAAGAATGTGCCCTTCGCCGAGTTCGCTCGTCCTCAGCGTTCTTACAGGGCGCGGGGAAGGGCTGCTGTTACAAAATGCATGATGTAATTTTGTGGAGCACTCATTTGGATAGGACTCATAAAATAATAGACCTTTTCACTAATAAATTCATAGTATTATGCACGCAGCGCACAAATGGCCCTGGTAGCATGAAGTGTGAGCGGGGCATTGAAAATTTACAGGAGTGCAACTTTGATGATCATTTTCTTTCAGGTTTTCTGGATTGGTTCAGTTTTTTCCTTCAGAAACTCCCATTTACTCCCACGAGACCGCCGTTTCTTAGTATGGCCCCCTTCCATCATAAGTAGTATAAACTACGTTGTTAGTGTTCTTGGAGCCAACATTGTGTCTATGGTCTTGCACAACCCCAAACACAACAACTTCTTCATGTACATGTACATGTACATGCACATGTACATGTACATTGTAGGCGGCAATAACCCGGGTTACTGTATTCGTGTCTGTTGATTCGACCTTTTTTGGACGTCCTTCGTCCGCAAAATGTGTGTCAAGCAGCAGCCCTCAAGTTCACTTGTCGGACGTGTACGCTCGGAAATTGTTCCCATGGATTCCTTTGTTTAACCCAAATTGGGTATACTTTACTTCAAAACTGGAGGCCAAACAATGTAACGGGTAAGCCTCCATAATCACAACCCCCGCGGAATTAAGGCGTGGATGACCTCAACAAGTGCTCCTTCAGTTCATTTGCCAACAATACTTCAGCCGTGACATTTGGTTGACACGGCGAGGACCAATGACACTCCATTCCGCGGAGTGAATTTGCAACACAACAACCAACCGCTCGTATGCTTGCAAACTGTGAAAGGCTATTCAATCGTTGGATGACTTGATTATCCGTCTATGCCTTGGGATAACGATGAACCTATCGTGTATGGGGACTTGGAACCGGTTAACAGCAATTACCAAAATTAAAATTCACGCCTCATTAAGTATGTTAGCAGGCCCGATCATCAAAGGAGTATTCTTCTCTTCACCAACATGACTAGAATCTGATCAAAGCAGACTTTTCGACTGGGAGAATTGTGGCACCTAATCCAGGCCTATTGGGCAAGATATCATTGCCCTGTCTTAATTAAACTCTCACTCTTTGCCCTACCGACTTCCAAGCTCAATTCCCGTTTGGAATATTCTTGGCGTGCTTCTAATTCTCATCTTTCGTTTTGTCATGCCAGGTGTTTGCTCATCATCAACAGTTCTCATGGGTCTCGCCGTAGCATTTCAATTTTGTGATTTCGCCCCGCCACGCGTTACTTATTAGTCTCTGCGTCAGTCTGTTGACGTATCTGTGATTGAAGATGAAAATCTTCTGAGTAGTAGTTAATGCACCGATGTGGATATAAACAACACAGGCAACGTAACATCGTTTCGAGGAATTGTATTTCTCTCAACTGACACGATCTACTCGTTCTAAATCATCGTTCTCTCGACCTGAACTCGGCTATCGTATTTTCTGCGTTGCATATTAACAAGACCACGTCCCCAAATTAATGCTTGACAGTCCTAGCAGGTAGTGAGATATTGCAGGATCGTCTTTCAATTCACGCCTGTTTCGCTCGACCAAACTTCAGAGAACCGTTACTTTTCATGGCAGTAAAAAGCTGGCCTATGACTGCACGCCGTGCAACGAGCAAAATATATAGAGATAACAAAACGGAATTGGAACAGGACCCACACATAATTTGAAACGAAACCGCTCTGCCGGGACCGCGCAATTATGATGATTGCGCGCGCTGTTCATTTCCCTCAGCACTATGTGCCGCTGTAATGGCATACACGTATGCCTGCCGGTAGACCGCAGTACCATTAACCTATATCAGTTTTCCTGTAGGCTCCACGTGTGTGCCACTCGTCTGCAACTGCTGTGAGTGATTTCAAGTGGTCGAATTCATACCGGCCGTGGATATCGGTGAATTCCTGGTTTGTGAATAGCTGCATTGTCGTGTGTATCTTCGGTGTCCATGCAGCATGGCCGTGCAGATCTCTGGTTCCTGCCTCACGAGTTCATGGAGGAATAAAACAGGCTGAATCGAGAGCGACTGTTGACGAGCGCCGCAACGCACAGCAGGTATTCATCAGAGCTGTTTATTAAGACGATGTTATCGAGGCAATCAACCTTGAGTGCGATATATTGCTGACTCCGTGGCTGCCGTCATTAGGCCGTCGACTCCCGTGATGTAATTTGTTTTTGAGACAGGAATCGTTTCTATCGCTACTGACGCGGAGTCTTTTGTGCACGCCCTGGTGTCAAACGGGGAGTGCGCGGTGCATCAGTTTCATCATGGCGGCTGGGCTCAGCAAGCTGCTGCGACAAAGCAACCGCGCACCACCTAGCGCCCGACGGAAGAGGCACTCATTTAGCCGCGTCAGGAAGCTCCGTATCGGCAACCAGGAGAGTACGAACTCCCCGGAGAACTCTGTCACAGGTCCCATCAGCAGTGGTGTTGGAGGGGGTGGTGGAATGGGCGGCGGCGGGGATAGTGGTGAAGGAGGGGGAGGAGAAGCAGGGGTGGGGAGCGGTGCACGGTCGAGGGTCGTCGCGCACAAGGAACCCGACATACGGCGGGAGATTAACACCGTGCGCTTTAGCGATGACTCCTACAGCCCCTCGGAACACCACGGAGTGACGCTGCCTGGCATGATTCCGGCAGACACCCCGGCGCCCCCGGCCTCTGTCAAAGCCAAGAGTGCGCCAATACTGAAGCAACAAGCGGGCGCGAGCACGTCAAAATTCAAGCCGGCCGGGCAGGACATTTCGTCTTCGGCTCTCGAGGACATCCCCCAACCGACCAAAAAGTACGTGTCTAACGTGCGCACGCGGCGGGTAATGAAGGAGTTCGAGGCTACCAACCGAATCAGCCAATCCGAGGACCCCATGTTCGAGGTCAGTCTGGTGTCCGATAACCTCTACGAATGGTGTATAAAGCTACTGAAGGTGGACCCCCTGTCGCAGCTTCACAGCGACATGAAGGCGACGAACACTACCTCAATCGAATTCAACATGACGTTCCCGGACAACTTCCCCTTCGCCCCTCCTTTTGTCCGCGTGACAGCACCCCGCATCGAGAACGGCTACGTCCTGGACGGCGGCGCCATTTGCATGGAACTGTTGACCCCCCAGGGCTGGTCCAGCTCGTACACCACTGAGGCCGTAATCCTGCAGCTGGGGGCCACCCTGGTGGCTGGCCACGCCCGCATCTCGCAGAGCAAGAAGAAGCTGTTCGGCGAGATACCGTTCAATAAGCAGGAGGCTCTTGAGAGCTTCAACAACATAGTGGAGACCCACAAGCGCTACGGTTGGCTTGATCCACCTGGGGAGTTCAGCTGATCACACTTGATGATTACACAAAACTTCTTCATTGGAAACACGATGTCAGAGAAGACAGTGCAGTTTACAAAGTCTGCACCATTCACGACGCTCTCAAGTGCAGTGCCTAAATATTTTCTCGACTGAAATGAGACGATCAGAACAACGTGGTGTTTTCAGGCTGTGAGAATTATAACTTCCACGTTGAAGGTACCAGTCCAACATTTACTTTCGGATACTCTCATTGACATCTGGTGAATACTATCTGACAGACTGGTGAAAGACTGATGTCACACATCTGCAACGCAGAAAATCTTGCTTACCAAACTGATGTGCTAAGTAAAGAGTGGCAATGAGCCTTTCACAAGTAAAACCAAAACCGCACTTTTTTGGCTGGCCTCTGTTTTTGCTAATATTTTCTGCATTGGGTAAATTTCTTTAAAATGGGCCATGTCCAAATTACTTGTTTGCGGTAATTTTGAAGTACACACTACTGTTTTGGGAAATGACCATAACCCTTACCGCGTGCGTAATTTCAAACTGCAGATAAATGCAGAAAAGACCTTGGAAGCTGGACATTATCCTCCAAACGTGCGCTAAATCCACATCGGACCTGCCGTGGCATCGGAGTGCCTTTATGACCACCAATGTCTGAAAATGTGCCTAGTGTTTAAGTAGGGGAAAAGTTAAGTTGCATCATGGAGTTAAGTTCAACAAAAGTTCCCCAATCTGAAATTTGTAAAATCCCACTTTTTTTTTTTTTTTTTGGGTTTTGGATATGTGTAAAATGATTATGTATAAGACAGTGTGTTTATTCAGTAGGTAGGAGTTTGCACTGCGTCGTCTTTCGTTTTTCTTGTCGGTGAAGGCATTGAGGCGCGGGTTTGGTAAACTCGTACCAACAACGTTGCTTTCTAGTTGAGTACCTTTGAGAATTGTAAATTTGAATTTAAAAACAATATGTACGGCTCATATTTTGTTGTTCCACCAACCAACAAACCGATATTTTCTCACCTTTTTTCAGTTTAATCTCTAATCGTTGTGAAGGTTTGGTGAAGGTTTGCGCTTTATGACTGCCTGTGATCGTGCGCAACAATGAAACCAAACGGGGAAAAAACAGAAACTCGACATGCCTATTTGGAGGAAACCTGACAAATTTCATTTAAAAATTTCCTCTCAGAAGGACTTCAGCGTTTCATGTTCTGTACGTCTATTACGAGCTACTCACAGCGAGCGTTTAAAGACACAATAATGGACATTTGTACGAAAAGAGCTCAAATAAAGACAATAAGCCACTTGCATGTTAAATTTGAATAAAATCTGGTACACTGTGTTATCTGATTGCACAGAAATGTAACAGTGTGAATTCCTCAGACCAAAGACACTGTTGCTATACCTTATGATTCGGGGCAAGCTTTTGCATAGCGGCCACCATCTCTGGAATGGGCTGGCTCCTTTGTGCCGTTCTTATCCATTGAGAACAGTATATTGTTGCAAGGCGTCTCTTATGTAACTAAGCAAAAGCTTGCCCCCGAATCATGAGGTATAGCAACAGTGGTTTAGTATGGAGAATTCAAATTGTTATGTTTACGTGAATTTTAAAACTCAGTGTATCAGATTTTATTCAAATTTAACTCGCAAATGGCTTATTCCCGATACCATGGTAAAGATATCGTTGGTCATTTACAGTGATCCCAACCAATGGCTGTAAACATTGTGGTAACTATTGTGTGGAGCCATTGCTCTGCGACAGTTGCTCCTATAGAAAACCCAACGCAACACTTTCTCCCATGAAAGGAGGCTATCGCAAATGTCCACAGACTAAATAAAACGCTATATCTGTGGTGGCACCGCACACATTCTTCAGCTTAACGTGCGCGTGTATTCGGGAAATCAGGGCACTCTATTGGTCAAAGAGGCATGTAACGCGCGCGCATTACCTGTGCACGAGCTGCGTACCACTGCAGTTATGGCTTCTAATTCACACTGTCGAATTACACCAAACTGAGTGTCTTTTCCGAGGCCCAGGGAGCACCATTCGATTAATTGTTGGTTTTCCACTCATATTCAACTGCCTCAATATCATCGGCTAAAAAGTTAAAGTGTCTTCGTAACACCTGTTCACAGCTGTTGTGACTTGGCTTGATATAAACAGTGGTTTCAGTCAGTATCTGCATTTAGCTTTCATCTGCCCCTTTGTGATCGTAGGCCCTTTATATATGTTATGTTGGGTTTTTTCCTCTCGTATCAAGCGTTGTCAACTAATTATGATAATGTATCTTGCATTAACGCAGTGGCTACACTTAATTTTATACGATCCGAGCATGTGTGGACTTTGCTCTATCGTGCTTTTGTGAAATTGTTAGCTGACTTTTCGTTTCATTAGCCAGCAATATTCCGCACGCAGCTAAAAAAAGGAAAAGCTCTAAATTGAATTGTGTAAGTTCAAGTGTTTCATTGAATAAAATCAGTTAAAATGAAATGTATGCGTCGTTAATGATTTGGCATTTGGAGCTGATGAATCATTTTATTGGGAATTGAATCGCATTTTTAACCCAAATATCTTTGCGCAGGTCGCGTAGACTAAATGGTTTGATACAACGATAAAAAGCAGCAAGTCGATTTTTAGTGTTGTATGTTATAATTCCAAATTCACAAGTGTCTTTTTTTCCTTTTATTCCACAAAAAGCCAAAATCAAACCCATGTCATGTGAAATTTCTCTCCAGGCGTGTACATATTTAAAAGAAGAAAATTGGTGGCAGCCATCTATTGTTTAATGATCAAAGCATTTGTTTAACAAGCATACAAATTCTGTCCTTCAGACATGTTGCACTAGCGTGTTGTGATAATACAGAGTTGAAGCCAGACATTAAAATCCTAGGGCCATACCTAAGATGAATAAGGTTTTGGTTTTCATAAGCCGAATGCACTACTGTGACAATACTTACTCTACCCTAATTATAATAATTGTGTTTGCTTTTCTCTCACTAATATTAATTTTAAGTGCTACCCGGCGCTGTCTCCCTTCCTACAACGAAAGGAAACGCCGATGAGTTAACGGTTCTAAGAGAAGAATGACAACAGGGCGCTCCATAATGCGAGCCCTAATGTCTCGTTGACATTAGTTGCACTTAATGTATGTCGGTAGATAATATCAACGAAGAGCTGATAAAGGCATGCACAAGTCCATTAAAACCTGGCCCCTAGCACTGTGTTCAAATTATCTCACAAGAAGGCACCTTTATAAAGTAACCGTACTGCGGGCCAGCGATTTATGAATCACTATTAAGAAACACAACTATGCAGATGTAGTGTGGACTATGTTCACAGGGGAGTTAACATCACTTTTTCTGCTCGATATCTGATTGCCATAAAACAAAATGATCTGTCAGCTCATTGAAATGTCACCATCGAGATGACTGGCATGCAGTGTGTTTGAAAAATTCCCTCTTTAGAAATTCCCTTAAAATCGTAAAAGAATCGAAAAAGCATTCCACACGCCCATTCCCGTCCCTCCCGAGCCCACACTCAATTTAACGATCGTGATTCTTGACAATATTCATCGATTCTCTCGGAGTTGACATCCTCTAATAGCCTTTCGTATGGATTTCTATTGAATAATTTTGCTGGGCATACTTTATATGTTTTGCTGATGAACGAACAGCGAAGCTACTCAACAAAACCTTTTCATACACCTGCTTCATGTCTGCGCGGCTCGGGGATACACAAGCATTTACTTTTAAAACTTGCCACTCTTTCAAATCATTCAAAAGCAGTGGCTTAAATCCTTTTGCCAGAAGTGGGGTTTTGTCGAGGGGTTGTCTTGCCAGGCCATGGAAATCTTGCACCAGAACGGTATATTTATGACTTTTTTTATGTCTTCTCTATTTTGAGTACTTTTAAATATATGTTGGTTATTGGGAAGTCCGAAAAATAATTCAAATCCGCCTTAATTTTTTTCTCACTGCGAAAAAAGTGGAGAGGGGGGCTCACTCAATAGCCAACCCCCTCCCTTGGTCATAAAGTGGAGGGGAGATACATGTATACCCCATCCCCTGGTATTTACGCCCATGATCAAAAGACAGACCCTTGCACGGGAGATCTTTTCAGAGTGTTATCGTTGTAAACTGTATCGCTGAGCACGTCGTACTGTTTGCAGTTTTCTGTTCAAAAAGAGTAGCTTTTCCAAAACGTTTAATAAGTTCAAATTTAGTTCATCAAATGGAAATTGGCTTAAGTTCAATAAAGCACATCGAAACATCCAATCTGTTTGACCGCAACGTAGCAATTGTGCTTAAAAACGCTCAATTTTGCCATGCACGTGGACCCAAACTCGGCCTCGACTATTTTTGTGCATGCATTTGTGTACTAAGACGACCAGATTACATGTATTCCACAAAACTGCTCGTCGGTGTTTTGTTTGTGTAGGAACGGATACAAATCAGGCTTAGCCAATTAAAAAGTTGCATTAACACAAGTGAAGTGATTTGCAGTTGTCTATCATTGCATTTACGTTGATTTGCCCATGGAACTTGGTGTGTCACAAGAGACTTCATTTCTGTCGTTCTGTTACCAGACTTTTTTCCACCGCACAAAAATGGCTCGGCAAACCTAGCGAAGCCAGCACAAATGACGGGGTTCAGTTGGGACAAATAAAGACTCAAAGACTTGCAAAAATGTAGTTTGGTGCATTTGAGTTTGCTTTGTACTCGAAGATGAAGTGGAAATTACTTGTCATTCCCGAATGGACATACATGTATTGCACGTACTTATTTCTTCTCTTTTTTTTTCAAGAACCCAAAAATTTTGAAGTGGAAGACATTGCAAGTGCAGTGACTGTTATGTTTGTGTATAAACTGTATAAACATTCTCAGCACCTTCGAAGTAAAGCGTACTCAACATTTCGTGGGAGAGGATGGGAAAGGACCCCCCCCCCAATTTCGTCCCTATTCTCCATCATAACCTCGCCATGGTGTATGATAGGCTGAGGTAACTTTTTATTACCTACTTTTTATACAACACAGGCGAGGTGTATTTGATTATTGAACTTTATTGCATGAGGTTAAACGGGTATTTGATCTGCGAGTCGTTAAGATCCAAAAAACAAACAAATACCCTGATGGTTAATTATTCAATAAAAAAATTTTTATTGTTTTTCTGTTTTCTTCATTACATCGGTGTTTTTGATGGTGTGTTTTTGCTTTTGCGTTTTCGGTGTTCTTTATTATCATTCCTAAGCAAACCGTTCCCCGAAAAAAGTGAGCAAAATGTCACCAGACTTGCTCAGTTCACTGATATCGCCACGGGTGTTACAGAAAACAACAGTTGGGGTGCTTGAAAGACATGCAGTATCGACGTCACTTACTTTGCAACACCTAATTAAGATTTTCCATATGACGGTAAGGTAAGGGAATTGGTGAAAACCACTTCAACGGCTGCCTCACTGGCAATTAGTGATTGTAAAAGCAAGACCGTTCTTCCAGAGAAAACAGTTTTCTAGTGAGCATCGTTTTGAAAGATTACACTAAAAGTGCAAAACTTGAAGAAAATATTCCCACGCTTTTTAAGAACCGATAACACAAAATACGTAACCAAACTGAAATTGGTGCATCTTTGGAGAATCACCAATACTTAACTCCACAAAACAAAAGAATTCCCTTAAATTAAAGCAAAATGTATTACATTATTTTTTAGCGATTGCATGCCGATTCGGCACCTTTTCGGTGAAAATTCCCCATCCATAACCTGATTATGCCAGACATGTTACAACTGTTGACTGCATTTTATGCAATTCAGCTAGTTTTATAATTTCTTGCCAAACTAGCACTTAAAATATGTACTTTAGTGAAGTGATATTTTGTTGGATGTCGTAATTATTGCTTTAGGGGTCAATAAGAGATTTAGACAATATTGAATCTGTGGCATACAATACCCATGTCACAGGCAACTTTTGTCAAAATGAAAACTTGTGTAAAAATAAAGATCGTCGTGCAGGCTCCGCTTTTGGTGAAAATTGTTGAATATTGTTATGGATGTCAAGTTACGTGTACTATTATTCTCACGGCCGAAAGGAATGGAAATTCTTATTTAGCGTACAGTGCTGTTTTCACTAGACTTCTTTGGTACGCTTGTATTTGGGGGGAATACCCTTTGTAAAGATGGTAGGTTCTCTTGGTTCAAACATAGGGCCTACAGTTAACCATTGTAACGTGAATGGGGAAACATTTTTTTATCTACATCGAAATGTGAATGGGGAAAACCTTTTTTTATCTACAATAAGGATGTTGGAGAAAAAAGTGTGAAGTAACTTTGCATTCTTTGTGTTGCTACAAATTCTATTTGTTAAAAGCACAAAACTGC